TGCGAACCGATAGAGTTGCAAGTAGCACCAGCCTGAGAGATGATGGTCTGAGTGCAAGCAGAGCCTCCCGGTGGGATACAGATGGGGGTGTTGGTCCAGATGTCATTGCAGTTTAAGAAGGTGTTGGCATTGAAGATTTGAGTTGCAGTCAAGCCGTACTTGTTACCGATGGACTGGCAAGTGTCTCCGGCAAGGGAGGTGTAGGTCGACACGCAAGTTGGCTGGGGAGGAGCGGAGCTCGTCGTCGAGCTCGTGGGGGGAGTGCCACCAGGAGGAATGCACTACTAGTCATTAGCAAGAGTATTTACATGTGTTGTAGAGGACTCACAATCGAAGTGTTGACCCAAATGTCATTGCAGTTCAAGAAAGTGTTTGCATTGAGGATGGCAGTAGCGCTCAAACCGTATTTGGAGCCGATAGACTGGCAAGTGTCACCAGAGACCGAGGTGTACCTGCTGACGCAAGAGGGAGCAGGGGTCGAAGAGGTGGTAGAGGTGGTGGAGCTAGGGGGAGTTCCGCCAGGAGGAATGCACTATGATCATCGAGTTCATTCAGTAATGTTCAAAACTCTGGAATTATGGATGCTCACGATAGGAGTGCCGACCCAGATGTCGTTGCAGTTGAGGAAGGTGTTGGCGTTAAGGATAGCCTGACCACTCAGACCATACTTGGTACCAATAGACTGGCAAGTATCTCCAGCGACCGAGGTATACCTGCTGGCGCAAGTAGGCGAGGAGGTAGGAGAGGTAGTAGTCGAAGTTCTGGTGGTAGTGGTGGTGGTAGTGGTAGTAGCTACAAACAAGGTCAGCATTTGTAGAAATGGAGAATAGAATATACTCACTACCGCCATTAGGAATGCACTAAGGGAGAGAAAAGGTGAGCCCAAGTTGGAACCGTCTCGAGAACACTTACAATTGGAGTTCCGACCCAGATATCGTTGCAGTTCAAGAAAGAGTTGGCGTTAAGAATAGCCTGAGCGCTCAATCCATACTTGGTACCAATGCTCTGGCACGTATCACCAGCAACAGAGTAATAAGTAGTACGGCACCCTCCACCATTATTCGGGGGAGTACCAGGGGACCAAGGACCGTAGCAATCCCAAGTCGAGTCCCTATTTCCATATCCACCAACATACTCGTACGCGGGGAAGTTATTACCGAGGCACTGCTCGACGGTGGCGAGACGGATGCCAGCTTGGTTGAGGCGGGTGACGGTGCCCATGCGGAGAGCGTCGATTCCGGCTTGTTGGGTCTCGTGGGAAAGAGCCATGTGTGGGTGGCCGGGTCCTTGTTGGGCAAAGCCGTTGTACATGTTGTAGGATTGTTGGGCGCTGCCGCCGGTCGAGTCGCCAGAGTCATCAGACCAGAGGACAATGGTCTTGCCGTACTGAGGAATTGTCAGTATGTTGATCGTACGATCGAAAAATGTCGGTGCTCACGGTGTTCTGGATGTAGGAAGCAGAGCGCTCGTCGATGTCACCATAGGGAGGGCTTGAACGGGTCAGTATCGTGTCCCCAATAGGAAGCAAGAACATACCGAAGGAACTTGGGCCTGACACCGAGAATCTTGACAAAGGCCTCGTCCAAGCGTTGGATCTCGTAGTCGATTTGAGCTTCGCTCAATTGAGAAAGGTGAGC